AAACCATCCCGAGGTCTCGGAGAGAATCAGTCTTACCCATTTCTGCAGTGGTGAGCAGCTGATGAGAAGAACTGAGGAGAAATCAATTTGTTTTCAAGAAGCTGGGGTTAGTCGCTCTCTCTCAAAAGTCCATAAAGATGTTCCCGAACACATTTTAGCACAATTAACTCTTCAGATTCAGTTAGTCTACAATCATACAGACCCAAAATAGAACCTGCTTCTACATGAGATGGAGGTATATTTTTGTCTGGGGGAAGTTCAGGGTTAGCAGTAATCCAGGGCTTTTTGCCATATCCTTGAAAGGCTAGAGATCCAGGCCCCTTTTGGCTTTGTGTTCCTCCTCCCCAAAGCCTTGCTGTCACTGGCGTGCTCCGAGATGGGGCCGCAGCTCTCTCTTCCATGTTCCAAGCAGTAGGATAGAGTCAGGGAGAACAGCAGTAGCATGTAAAACCTCTCTCTCAAGGAGAAAAGCTGGAACTGCTATAATTTACTTCCACAAATCTCCTTTCAGCCACAAAGTCATCTCAGCCACACCCAGCTTTAGGAAATGTTGGGAAATGGGGTAAGCAGCAAGAAACTAACCTAAAATGGGGGCCAGCAGATGGCGTAATGGTTATGCCGCTGGACTGCCATGTAGTCAACCACCATTCAAATCCTGAACACTGCAGCTTAAACCTCATGCCTGGCACATATGCGTGCATGCATGCCCAAGATCCCAAGAGGAGAATGGAGGAGAAAGGATTGTGGCGTGGCTATCCCTCCTGGGGTGTGATTTCCCACTTTCTGTATCTCTGTCTCTGTCTCTCCAATGAGCGCAATCACCCTAAAGCAAAAATCTGTCTCTTAAAAAAAGAAAAGAAAAGAAAAAAGAAAACTAACCTAAAGTGACAAAGGAGAGAGCAGCCACTGGGATCCACCATCAGTCTGTCTTTCTGCTATCTCAGATACCTGACTGTGTGTCTGTCCCTGCCATTAGAACTCTGAGAGGAGTGGTGACTATAGCTATTAATACTCTATCCTTGTACATCTAGCACCTCACTCTGGGTTTTATCTCTAAGAGGTGCTCAATTGTAAACATTTACAAACACCAGTATCTAATCACGTCATTCCATTGCTTAAAACCACAACAGCAGGACCAGCAAGTGGCATAGTGGTTAAGGCACTGGACTCCCGAGTGATCAACCTTGGTTTGACCCAGCAGCTTGAAACTCATGGTGGGCACGTGTGTGCCCAAAATTCTGAGAAGAGAATGGAGGAGAAGGGATTGCGGCAGGGCCCTATCCCCAGAGGAGGGGTGGTTTTTTGCTTTCTGTCTCTCTGTCTTTCTCTGGTCTCTCTTTTGAGCACACGTACCCTATAACAAAAATCTCTTAAAAAAAAAAAAAAAAAAAAAAAGAACCACAACAGTTTTCTATTGGCTTTAGCATCCAATGCAAGTTTATGCTGTGGTCTCAGAAGTCTGTCCTGTTTCTCCAACCACACACTCTGCTCCATGGTTCACCCCTCATCACGATTAAGCCAAAACAGCTTTATTTCTAGTCTTGCGATTTACCAAGATGATATTCCTCTCAGCCCCTTCTTTCTTGTTCCCTCTGCCTGGAACGCTCTTTCTCCTCCCAAGCTCATTTACCTGATTTCTCTTCGCCGAAATCTCAACTCAAGTCTGCCTCTTCATAGTTCCTTGTGATTGCTACGTCTCCCTCATGTACACCTGTCCCCCCATCACTCTCATGCCTCTTTATCTCATACAGAATTCAGTCTGTGTATGCCATATTATTATCTGAAATTTATTTATCTATTTTTCTTATCTACCTACTTGTTGTCTCTTTGCTTCCCAAATCAGAAAATATGGTCTTGGAGAACAGAGATCCTGCCTGTTTGGCTCCCTATGGAATCTTAGCACCTAAAATTGTGTCTAGTGCTTTGGAATCTGTCAGTAAGCATGATGGCATCACTGTGCAGTTAACAAAGCTGCCAAATGGTATATTCAGAAGTTAAATTTCATTTTTGAAAGATATATAGTCCTCCACATCAGCATTGCAAAGAAAACCTGGGAATCAGATTTAAAAGCTATATGAATTCAGGGACCAGCAGGTAGCATAACGGTTATGTCGCTGGACTCCCATGTAGTCGACCGCAGTTCGCATCCCGGACCCGGTGGCTTAAAACTCATGCCAGGCATGTGTATGTGTGTGCCCAAGATCCCAAGAGGAGAATGGAGGAGAGGGGATTGCGGTGTGGCCATTCCTCCCTGGGGGGGGGGGGTGGTTTCTCGCTTTCTGTCTCTCTGTCTCTGTCTGTCTGGCGAGCGCACACACCCTATAGCAAAAACCTCTTAAAAAAAAAAAAACATATGAATTCACAAATTTACTGCTGGCTCCCTCTCAGGCTAAGAATCTACCTCCAGGGACCAGTAGATGGTATAGTGGTTATGTTGCTTGATACCCACATGGCTGAATGCATTTTGAGTCCCGGACCTAGTGGCTTGAAACTCATGTCAGGGGTGCGTTGCGTGCTTGTTCAAGATCCTGGGAGGAGAATGGAGAAGGGATTGCAACATGGCCATCTCCCCAGGGAGTAATTTCTCAGGATCTCACTGTCTTTCTGTTTCTCTCTCTCTCTCTCTCTCTCTCTCTCTCTCTCTCTCTCACACACACACACACACACACACACACACACACAAACACACACACACACACATGCACACACAAGCATAGGAGCCCTAAGCCAAAAACTTATTTAAACAAAAAGAATCTACCTCCATTTTTCCTCCTATGCTGTGGGTTGGTTGTTTCTATCTGGAAGTCAGGACGTTGTAACCCTGCCTTGCCAACCTCTCATCCCTACTCACAACCTGTGTCTACATCCTATTAAAGTAAACTGAATCAAAGAGGTAGGAAGATGATGAGAAAGATTTAATATCAGGTGGAAAGATTACACTTAGAGATAAAAGCTCAAAGAGAAGGAAACCAGCGTGTGTTGATCAGAACCTTGCCAGGTGTGTCACAGCAGGTTGATGTCCTTTTCAGAGATGGTGAAACCAAAGCTCAGTGAGGAGGGAGGGGTATGCCTGGTATGTGTGAGGAACAGAGTGAGCTGAGGCGACTCGTAGGAGAGGAAGTCAAAGAGGTCATGTTGTTGGAGAGTGGCAGAGTGTAGATCCAAGAATAATTAAATTGGAGACAGTAACCCAGAGGATGATGGAAAGGCTTAGGGCCGGGGAAGGAGCAATGGTTACGGAGAAGGGAATGAATTCCCAAAGCCCAGGTGAAAGAGAATCAGTGTGCTTTAGGAAGCAGTTTAGTGGAGGGGAGGGAAGTAGGCAATTGTGAAGAAGCAAAGGTCAAGGATGATGCCCAAAACTGCCTTGGGAGTTTGCACAGGGAACTTCAGTTTGTATCATGCATACAAAGTGTTCAGTAAATATTTATTGAGTCAAATCCAATTTTTCTCCCTTCCCTGCCCTAATACTGAGTGCTTGCTTTGTCCACAACTAAGTATAGGGCTCTCTAACACCGAATTTGGGTGGCATTCATTCCCTCTTTGTCACACCCAGTCTTGCTGAATGAAACCAGACACCTCTCAGACACACCAGCAGGAACAGTGCAAAAGCAGGATTAAATTCCAAGACATTCACCAGCAATAGAGCTGGGACTGGGTCATTCTGAGCCCGAACCATCAATCTTCAGAAATGTACCCTCTACTGACTGCTCCACAGTCACCTACTCATACCCACCGTCCACCAAGAAGCTGCAAACACACAGCCTTGCAAGCAGTGAGAAATACTGAGCATCGACCAGTCAGGCCATCCCAACAGTGCCCCCCTTGGTGCTCTGAAGCCCTTTGGGCTGCCCTCACCTCTGACCCACTGCTCAGACCTTTCCACTCTCATCACAGGTCCCCATTAGCTTTAGCAAAGGGACGTTTCTGACCTTCCATGTACAACCAGGGAACATGACACCCTGAACCTCCAGCAAAAACCTTCCCAGTGCGTCCCATCAGCCTCCATTAATATCGGGGACAGACAACTGAGATTGACTGCCTCATTAACAGGCGTCGTGTGGAACTCTGACAATAATTAACAACTCAACAGTCTCATTTGCTGGCCTATCAGAGAAGTATTCAATCAAAAATGTAATTTGCCCAATGCTTCCATTTAGCATGGGAAGACTATTCCTTCAAAGTTTTAAATAGACTAATTAAGAAGGAAGAAATAGAAGGGGAAAATTATTAACAGTATAGGTTTAATGTGAAATTGCTGGAGCGAATTAATAATGCAATAACCATTTTTAGCAGCTGTCTATCAGTTTGTTGGCCAGAGTAATTCAATTAGTCAGCAAAAGGCCATTCAACTTAGACAGTGGGGAGAAGTGCCATTTTGTCTCCTGAAGGTGCCGTGGACTTTATTTTTCAGGATTTGGGAAAGATACCAACAAAGCACTGTGAGACTCTGCATGGAAGAAATGTGGGGGAGTAAATGTGCCTAGTGGTTGGAGCAAGTGGACTTGCTTCTCAGAATCTCCCAAAACTAATCTCAGAGCCTGACCTCGGGTTATACTTTCTGTTGAATTGACTCTACTTTCTTGACACCCTTGATTTTAAGTAAACAGTCTACCAAAGTAGTACTGTTTACTAACATTGTAGTTAGGCATGACTTAGCATTCAGGTCACATACCTTCCAGCAGGCTGAGACTGTCTGCCACACTTTTACTTCTGCCCGTGAAGACTTTTCTTGCAAGAATGGTTTCACGGTGTCTATGCACTAAAGCCATCAGTCCTTCCAGGTTCAGTACACTTGCACGAAGCCTCCTTATTTCCCCTAAATAAGCATCCAATTCCCAGTGTTTCCAACACTTGCTCTTTAGTTATAAATACAGTTAATAAAACAGATCCAACTGGAAGGTGAAGAGGCTTAGGTGAGGAAGCTCAAAAATGAAAGTGCTATCAATTGAATGTGTCCCCTCAAAAACTCATATGTTGAGATTTGGTTGGGTCAGGCTTAAGATGATAGAAACATATTCAGACTATGGTGTTGAAAGATGGTGTTTTAGTGAGATAGGATTAAGGTCATCAGGGATTCTCATGATTGACCTCTGGTGAACTTAAAAGAAGAGGGAATAAAACCAGAACAGAGACACATGGACACAGACATGTGCACCAACTGCTCTACTTTGTGGTGGGTACACCAGCAAGAAGATCCTCACCAGGTGTGGCTTCTGAACCTCAAACCTCCAAAGCATGAGCAAAATAAATCTCTATTCTTGTAAATCACTGTTTCAGGTGTTTTCTGTTATTAGCAGCAGGATAGACTAGAACAACAGGCAATAGATCTGTCAGAAAGGAAACAAGCCATTTTATTCTTCAGCTGGGGAGGATGTTGGTGTTGAAGCCCAGTAACTGCCATGGTTTCCAATGCTTTGGCAAAACCTCAGATGCGTGGCCTTCGGGTCAAGCGTCTGTGATTTCATATTGTTGAGCATTCATTGTAGCCCTGAATGTTGCAGCTTTCTATAAGTTTGCTGTGGCTGAACCAAGACAGAAGGCATCTGCAGATTTCTACAGAAATTATGATTCCATGAAAGATTTTGAAGTGATGAGGAAGGCTGGTATCTTTCAGAGTACAAAGTGATTTTGGAATGTAAAGAATGTCATTGAAGGGACCAGCAGTTATAACTATGTTGCTGGACTCCCATGTAGTTGACCACAGTTAAAGTCCTGGATCCGGTGGCTTAAACTCACACCCAGTGTGTGTGCGTGCATGCCAAGATCCCAAGAGGAGAATGGAGGAGAAGGGATTGTGGTGGGACCATCCCCGCTGGGTGGTGATTCCTTGCTTTCTGTCTCTCCTTCTCTATCTGTCTTTCTGGTGAGTGCACATGCCTTATAGCAAAAACCTCTCAAAAAAAAAAAAAAAAAAGTCATTGGATTGGGGCCATGTTCCTAAACTATGAAACATGAATACATGGGTTAAAGAATAGTTTCTCTTGATAAATAAATACTGTGGACAGTAATAATAAAAAAAAAAGAAAGAAAGAAAGAAAACAATTCAGACCATGAAAGTGAGACATTCTATGTCCCCACTTAATATATACAGAATGTCTGCACTTCATAGCATAAACTGAAAGACTAGAAGGTATTAATAGCATGCAGAGCAACTGAGGACACTGGAAAAAGTGTTGGAAGAAGGTGAACAATGAGGGGGCAGAAGAAGGGAATCAAGGAGAGGAAAATAGCAAAACATTTAGTGAACAAAAAAATGCAAAATTATTTGTTGATGTTATTGTGTATGGTAATATCTTTGACTGGGCTCATATGCAAAATACTCATGCCCCAAAAGTTTATTTTGTAGGCTGTAAAGATGTATAGTAATTAAATGTAAATTAATAAATAAACAAATTACCTTCAACTCTGGGGGTGGGGGAGAAAAATAAATACAACATCCAGATCCAGACAGGCCAGAATTCTAATTTTGCTTCTGCCAATTAATGACTGTGTGTTCTTAAAAACTTTTTCACCTCTCTCTGCCTTGATTTCCTCATTTTAAAATAGATAAGTATTCCTAACTAGTTGACTTCTCGTGGGGATGATGGATAATGTATGGAAAGCTCACAATACATAATGCAATCTTAATATGGACACTGTTGCTATTAATGAACTTAATAGAGTGTCAGTCTGACAGTTTCTTTCCGCTTCCCAACATATTCTTTTACACCTCCACAAGCATTTGTCTATGGAAGACTATTCTGACAGTCAACTCTGTTATTGGGTCATCAGGAAAGTCATGATGCATGCATAGAAAGACATAGAAAAATACATCTTGACTTTCCTAATGACCTAACAGTATAGTTTATGTTTCCTTTTGCTGCTCCCTCCTCCTCTTCTGTAAACTCATGGAGTGTGTGATTTATGTCACATACATGTTGCACCTAAGCAGTGCCCAGCATTCTACCTTACACATAGTAGGCTTGAGTAACTGCTGCAGAAATTAGAAGGATGTGTAAGGGTAGAGGAGGAAGAGCTATTACCATGAAGACCGTGAGTAAATATGAATTCAGAGGAATATGACTGTTAATCAGTGTTTCAATCTATATGTACTTTTTTAATATCTGTAAAAGTTGGTCAGTGTTTATATCTGAAGTTACATGACAGTGTGATGATTAAACTCTTGGACTTTGGTGCCAGTCGTAGCTGGGTCTGCATTTCAGCTGCTTTTCTTAGGCTTACAAGGTCTTGGTTTTCTTATCTGTAGATAGTAACGGATCTACTTTGTGGACTATTTGGATCCAGTGAGGTTTTGCAAAGAAAAAAAAAGGCATCTACTACATAGGTACTCAGTAACTCAGTAAATGATGGCTGTTTTTGCATTATTTAGAAGAAAGAAGAAGAAGAGCAGGGATAGTGATGGGAGGGGAGCAGAGTCGGGCTCAGCAGCTGTGTCATGAGAAATGCTGAACATTAGCAAGTAGAAAGCAAGGAGGCAATACAGTGGGTTGTTGCGCATGCATGAAAGGATGTGCAGAGAGTACTGTAGCCAAAGCTAAATCGTTGCAGTTTTCCAGGGAACGAAAACATCACAGTGGGCTGTTGGCAATGACAGGCAGTTGTATATAGCAACAGGGTAGTATGATGAGATTTTCAATTAATAAATAAACAAATTACCTTCAACTCTGGGGGTGGGGGAGAAAAATAAATACAACATCCAGATCCAGACAGGCCAGAATTCTAATTTTGCTTCTGCCAATTAATGACTGTGTGTTCTTAAAAACTTTTTCACCTCTCTCTGCCTTGATTTCCTCATTTTAAAATAGATAAGTATTCCTAACTAGTTGACTTCTCGTGGGGATGATGGATAATGTATGGAAAGCTCACAATACATAATGCAATCTTAATATGGACACTGTTGCTATTAATGAACTTAATAGAGTGTCAGTCTGACAGTTTCTTTCCGCTTCCCAACATATTCTTTTACACCTCCACAAGCATTTGTCTATGGAAGACTATTCTGACAGTCAACTCTGTTATTGGGTCATCAGGAAAGTCATGATGCATGCATAGAAAGACATAGAAAAATACATCTTGACTTTCCTAATGACCTAACAGTATAGTTTATGTTTCCTTTTGCTGCTCCCTCCTCCTCTTCTGTAAACTCATGGAGTGTGTGATTTATGTCACATACATGTTGCACCTAAGCAGTGCCCAGCATTCTACCTTACACATAGTAGGCTTGAGTAACTGCTGCAGAAATTAGAAGGATGTGTAAGGGTAGAGGAGGAAGAGCTATTACCATGAAGACCGTGAGTAAATATGAATTCAGAGGAATATGACTGTTAATCAGTGTTTCAATCTATATGTACTTTTTTAATATCTGTAAAAGTTGGTCAGTGTTTATATCTGAAGTTACATGACAGTGTGATGATTAAACTCTTGGACTTTGGTGCCAGTCGTAGCTGGGTCTGCATTTCAGCTGCTTTTCTTAGGCTTACAAGGTCTTGGTTTTCTTATCTGTAGATAGTAACGGATCTACTTTGTGGACTATTTGGATCCAGTGAGGTTTTGCAAAGAAAAAAAAAGGCATCTACTACATAGGTACTCAGTAACTCAGTAAATGATGGCTGTTTTTGCATTATTTAGAAGAAAGAAGAAGAAGAGCAGGGATAGTGATGGGAGGGGAGCAGAGTCGGGCTCAGCAGCTGTGTCATGAGAAATGCTGAACATTAGCAAGTAGAAAGCAAGGAGGCAATACAGTGGGTTGTTGCGCATGCATGAAAGGATGTGCAGAGAGTACTGTAGCCAAAGCTAAATCGTTGCAGTTTTCCAGGGAACGAAAACATCACAGTGGGCTGTTGGCAATGACAGGCAGTTGTATATAGCAACAGGGTAGTATGATGAGATTTTCAATCACTCACTCATTTATTTTCAGAACAATTCCTAAGCATCTGCCACACGCATCATCCTAGAGTAAGAGCTTTGTGAGAAATAAAGACGTAACAGGCAAGACGCTCACACGCAAACACAAACACACACATACCCCACCTTGAGCTGCTCATGCTTAGAAAGATTATTAGCAGTTGGGCACTGGGAGAATTCAAGCCTGATCAAGTCCAGGTACCATTCCTTGGAAGCCCATAGGTATCTAGGGGAGGACTACCTAGTACAGATTCCTGTTGAAAGTACAGTCCATTCACTGTGGCCACAACAATTCTAATAGAGAGAGTCAATCAATCCACAGCAGTAAGCTTGTGAATACTGAGAGTGTGTTATTATGCAAGTGAGTTCCCAGAGCCAGCTAAAGAAGGAGCCTAAATGCTGGCAAAACGCAGGAAAGCAAAATCCACCAGCTTTCTGTTAGTAATGAAGCAATATAAGAAATAAGAAGTCTTTTGATTGTAAGGCTTAGAATAGCTCTTCTTCTATCACCAGGTGACCATATGCCTAGTTCGTGTGCTTAGGGCTCTACACATATTATCTTCTTTAAAGGTAGGAATCAATCTTTGGGGACATAAGAAACTGTAGGGAGCCCTAGAAAGAGGTTCTGATGAGGAAGATGGTAGAGACCATCCCAACAAAATCTGAGGTGGTGATAGAAGGAGTCAGAGATACCCTGCATCTACACTCCTAAGCTAAATGCTAAGGTTTTATGCAATCTACAATGAAAATGGGTTTCTCTAGTGCTTCTTTTCTGCCTGCCCAGGATAGATTGTCCAGGATGACCTCTTTGCTGTGTTCTAGCTAATTAATTTACCTAAAACGTGTTAACCATGATTCATTGTTCTTAGCCTGTCTGTTCAAATTTTTCTTTTCTCTTTGTTTTTATAAATACTATTTGGGGTTTTATTTCTAAATAATAGCCTGATGACTCTGTTCCTCATATATAGTAAACCACATTGGAACTAAGTAAATGTCTCTGTGCTATTCTCTGATAAAGTGATTGAGTTTTGGGGCTTTGGAGTCAGCTGTACCTAAGTTCAAATCCCAGTTCTGTCACTCTGTGGGTGACCTTGAGTTTTCTCATCTGTAAATTAGGAATTTAAAAAGGTCCCCACCTCACAATTCTGTGAAATAATTGGATAACACAGTATGTATAAAGCCCTCAGGATAGGGTCTGGAACTCAATAATCAAATGTCTTATTTAAATTATTATCAGCATGTTCAGGCATATTATTATGAGGGCTTGTCAAGAATCTCTTATGACACTGATGGAAAATTATCACTACATCCGAATTACCTGCACTTATTTTCTGATGGCAAAGGGATTGAAATGAGTCCTGATACCATGAAGACGGGGAACAAAATGGAGGAGGAGAGAAGAGAGATTCTTGTAAGAGCACACTGCCACGGCTTCAGAAGGTGCCAAAGATAAATGCTCTAATTTTTGAAAATGGTCCTGAGTGCTCTGATGAGAGAGAGACCATGTCCTGGGGATGTCATGGATGGCTTGATGAACATTGTATGTTAGAACTAGGCCTCCTTGGGGATCACAAAGGGAACATTATTTCACACAGGGAGACTTCTTGAGAAAGGGCTGACAGGTGGACCAGGGTGACAGGCACAGCAGACCACTTTGAATGGAGCATGACAAAGAGTGGAAGAAGTGAATTTTGGAAGAAGGAATAGGATTTCATCATCACGGCTCTTGTTTCCAGCCTAGAGTGTTTCAACTTTACCTGATGGGCAATGAGAGAATACTAGACATTTTAGAGTGTGTGTTCATACATCCATGTGTGTGATTGTGTGTGTGTGTTTACATCTCCTTGTGTACCAGGGAAGACAAGAGAGTAGTTCATGGAAGGAGAGGTACTTATGACTCAAGCTGGACCCTGGAAACTTGGTTTTCCTTAATCGTTCATCGTACCCCATGCAAAAAAGAAAAAGGAACAGCAGCCAGTTCCAGTCTGTTTAGGAAATTGAAAACAAAGAAACATAGCAGCCAGGTTTGAGTCTGTTTAGGAAATTGAAAACAAAGAAACAAACAAACAAAACACTCAAGGGCTTCAGGTAATTCCTAAGGAAAAAATGTTTCTGGAGCCAGCCTCGAGCTTCCCTTAATGTATCTGAATGTGAGTGTGTGTGTGCGCACCAGTACATCTGCATTTCCTTCAGCTCAACTTTATTGCTTTGTGACTACAAGCCCCAGATGATGAGATTTAAAAGGAAGCAGCACATCTCCCGCCCTGTTAAAAAACTACTCGTGATTGTCATAATGACAAGTTTACCAGGGTGACAGGCACAGCAGACCACAGCAGGTGAGCACCCCTCTTTTCACTGGGAGACTCCTCACCTCTCCTCATCAGGCTCTCAGAAGGCAATTAGTTAATGTAAATAACTTCACAGAATACCTGGCAGGTAGTTGGAACTCACTGAATAACTGCTGCTCCCGTGTTGATGGCAGTAGCAGTGGTGGTGATTAAGCAGGAGCTGCAGCTCTAAGCAGATTTACTTCAAACAAAATGGTAACTGTGAGAGGGGAAATGACTTTTTCTTTAAGGTTTGCGGAAGCAAACAAGCTATATATGTTTTCTGAAAAAAAAAAGGGAGAAGCTAGAGACTTAGGCAGACTTTGTTGAGTATGAACCTTAGTGTCCTTATCTGCAAAGTGACATTACTGATCCTTACCCTTAAAGTTTATTATGAAGTATAAGCCAGGCATATAATGCAAAGAACCTAACCCCATCTGTGGCAGACCCTGCACTGCTTCTGTCCCATAAGATCCCTTCTAATTTTCTTGTCCAGGGAGTCTGTTGTTTTAAGTCACCATTTTTTTTAACTGCCGAAGGGCGTGTATGCTCAGCAGAGACAGAGAGAGAGGGGCAGGCAGAAGGCATGCCCAATAATACATGGTCCTGCTGCACTCCTTTCTCCATTTCTCCATTCACATGCACACATGCATAGCATGTTTTTCAGGCTACTGGGAATCGGGACCTAAACCAATTTTGGTCACATGGGATCTGGATCCTTAGACACTGGACTACAGGGCTGGCTGTCACCATTTTTAAAGAAACATTTTCAGCAAAGAAGGAGGAAGAGGAAGAGGAGGAGCAGGAGAAATCTCTTTCATTTACCAAACTTACAGCCCACCCTGAAAGTATCCACTACTTAGGATTGAATATTTGCTTATAGAACTGTTGACATACATTTACGTAGGTATATTTTAACCCCAATGGGATATTGTGCTGTGTTTTGTGAAACTTGTTTTTTCTACTAATACAAAGTTTTAAAGATGTCTCCATGTCAGTTCACATGGATCTACAATTGTCTTTTTCATAGCTGATTAATATTCCACGGTACCATGATATGTTTAACCAATAGTCAACAGTGGGGCTTTATTATATTTTGTACTATTATAAATAATGTAACAGCCACATACATGGATTTTTTGTGACCACAATTATTTTAAGTTCTTTCAAGTAGAATTACATGACAAAGTGAAAAAAAATTAAATTTTAATAGGTATTCCCAAATTGTCTTCTGAATCTATAATACAAAGGATTAAACTAATTAAATGAATTCTAATGAACAAATATTGATTTGAAATACAGTATGAGTCAGGCATTGTGGAAGTACATAAAAGTAATCAGGGACTAAGCCTTTTTTGAGAAGTAAGTTTACTATGGGAAGACACTTGGTCAACAATAATAATTTAAGGTATACAGTACTCAGGCACAGTTCAAAGTAGACAATACACCTTTTAGAAGCAGGTGGCCTTTGGCATGGTGAAGGATAGCAGGATTGTGGATTATAATTATCTTATAATTATCTTAAAGGAACTCTACTGGGCAAAGAAGTGGTCAGGGCTGACTTCCCGAAAGAGGTGATCCCCGTCCAGAGGACTGGAAGAGGAAGGAGACTTTAATAGGGTAATAAAGTGACAGGGCATATAGCGTGAAATAAGACAGGCTTTGAAGCAAATATATTTTAATTCTGAGTCTGTTTTTAACTAGCTACGTAACTCTGGACAAATAACTTAACCTCTAGGAACTTCAGTATATTTATTTGTAAACTGGGTAGTAGCCACAATCACCTCACAGAGTCATTGTTCGTTATTTCATCCCATACTCAGTGAGCACATGGAATGGAACCAGCCCTGCTCTAGAAAATGGGGATGAGCAATGAACAAACCAAAACCCTCGTCCTCATTGAACTGACATTTCAACTGAGAGTAATGAAGTGATGTGTGGTTGAGAGCGTAGTCTAGACTCCAATTCGAGTTAAGCATTTGCATTTATACCATTAAGGCAAGAAGGCATGCCAAGCATGAAGGGGGCTTGAAAGATAGGGGAGACCTTGAGCAAGGATTCATTCATTCATTCATTCATTCATTCCCTGAGAGAGACAGATAGACATCCCAACATGGTCTGTACACCACTATCTGCCTCCAGTCTCAGTCAACCCAGATCACAGAGTGCTCAGGAAGGTCCCGAGATGCAAACCTGGGACCTTTCCCATGAGGTCCAGATACGTTACCACTGCACCACTACCTAGCCTTTTGACCAGGATTTGTTTAAGGGATACTGAAAGTTTGTTTTTCCCATTCTTTACTTTCTTTCTAATTTTCCATCTACCTCTCTCATGCCCTCACTCTTTAAATTATTCTCTGTTAATATTGTATCTTACAAGATCTGGAGAACAACTCTTAGGCTTTTAAGCCATTAAAATTATTTAGAGCTTCCATGTAAAACAAAGCCAGCTGACCTAGCTCATTTGAGCCTGGCAGATCTACTTAGGGGCTAGGGAGAGGGGCTGCTTCTGAGACAGACCCACGTGCCTAGGACAAAGGTTCTTCTTCATTCCATGCTGCCTCAGGGAGGAGGAGACTGTGAGAACACCAAGCACCTTCAGAGAGCATCTCATCCATCCTCTACACTCATTGTACAGTGTTAGGAGGAATGCCAAGGAGCAAGTATTTGAAACGAGATTTCTCTATTTTAAGAACTGACTTATAAAGTGCATGGAGGTGTGTGTTTGCCAGCCACAAACTGGGGACCAATATGCTGTAATTCCTAACCTAAAAATGACATTTCCTAGTAAAATGTTATTTATTTATTCAATGAGAGGAAGAGAGAGACTGACACACCCAACAGAGTGTTCACATCACAGTGCATTCCCAGTCTTAGCAAGCCCACATCATGGGCATTCATACTCATGCCCCTGGCATGTTCAAGGTGATCCTTGTACAAGAACCAGGAAAATTTTCTTACGGGTCCAACTGTTTTACCACCGTATGCCACCTGGCCTCAAAAACGGTATTTATTTTTAAAATGAGACACATACTAAGAAACTCTAAGACTGGTATGTAGTTAGCAGGGGAGGAAGGGCTTATAGCTTTTTTTTTTTTTTGGAGAGGATTTTGCTATAGGGCACGTGCACTCGCCACACAGACAGAGAGAGACAAAGAGACAGAAAGTAGGAAATCACGGGGTTGGCCACACTGCAATCCCTTCTCCTCCATTCTACTCTCGGGATCTTGGGCATGCACGCACACATGCCCGGCGTGAGTTTAAGCCACCGGGTCTGGCACTCGAACTGCTGTCGACTACGTGGAGTCCAGTGTCATAGCCATTACGCTAACTGCTGGTCCCAGGGCTTGTAGCTTTTAAGAAGCAAGAATGAGACCTTCTGGCCTTAAGAGAGATGGACTTTCATGGGGACCAGCAGTTAGCATAATGGCTGTGTCACTGGACTCCCGTGTAGTCGACTGCGGTTCGCGTCCCGGACCCGGTGGCATGAACTCATGCCGGGTGTGTGTGCGTGCGTGCCCAAGATCCTGAGAGGAGAATGGAGGAGAGGGGATTGCAGCGTGGCCATCCCCCATGGGGGGGTGATTACTCACTTTCTGTCTCTCTATCTCTCTATCTCTCTTTCTGGCGAGCACACGTCTCTCAAAAAAAAAAAAAAAAAAAAAGAGATGGACCTTCAGTCATAGGTTAGCAAACCTCAGAGGGATGAGGACATTTGAAAAAGGTTGCAGGATCTGTCTGGTGGAATTTGTAAGATCGTTAAAACTTTCACAGAGCACATTCCAGGGGAGTTGTAGTATTGTGGAGACCATCTTCCACTTCCACACTTAGAGAAACAAAAGCCCAGTGACAGGAGGGAATTACCAAAGTCACACAGCTGGTTAGAAGCAAATGTAGTTTCAAAACCAGGACTTCTGGACCAGTGACTGTCCCCAACCTCCATTCCTACCTCATCAAACCTGCCCTATTCTTTGATCCAACCTATACTGAACAGATAGGCTGGGAACTGATCACCTGTAGCAATAGTAACTGTTATGGGTTCAGCTGTTAATCAAGAACCAGGCTACACACCAGGGACTCCATAAACACCATCTCAGAACATCCTGTGTGGGAAGGACAATTTACTTGCCCCATTTTGAAGATGAGAAAACCAAGGCTTCGGGAAATTTAAAAAGTTTTCTCAAAATGATATTGTGAATAAATAAGCAGTCTTTAATTTGATGTATTTATTTTCCCATTTTTAAAAGAAATCCCCGGACCCACAGGTGGCATGGTAGTTGAGATGCTGGACTCCCAGATGGCTGACCGTGGTTCAAGTCCCAGCCTGATGGCTTGCTTTCTCACTTTCCAATTTTCTCTCTGTCTTTCTGTGGTAAAAATCATAAATAAATAATAACAAAATTAATTTTTTAATTTTTATTATCATCATAATCTTCTTTATGTTACATTGGATTGCATATAACTTTACAGTGTATTACATTGCTTTTTCAAAAGGGAATTCCCTGCATGTCAGTCAATACAGAGACATTAATCTCCCCACTTCATCATTCAATATATTTCTATGTTTTTCCCAATCATTATTATTATTATTCTAATTATTTTTTCAAACAGTCAGTCACTATTTCTCATTTTGCTTGTAAAAAGACTTTACCCATCATGAAATACTTCTCAGACCAATCCAGTTGAGAATACTATACATGTCATCATCAACAGGTAATAAGCCATATCTGTTTCCCTCTAGTGTCCTGCCTCTCTATTAATAACAAAATTAATTTTTAAAATAAATTTATTTTTAAAAAAGAAAGAAAGAAATCCCTAGCTTGGGGGTCAGCAAGTGGTATGGTGGTTAATGGTGCTAGACTACCATATGGTCGACCATGGTTCGAGTCCTGGACCTGACAACTTCCCCTAGCAACTTCCTTTGTCACTTTCCCTCTCTCTCTTTCTCTTACTCTGTCCCTGCCAAGTGAAATTTAAAAATAAGTAAATAAACAAAGTTAAATAAGATAATTTAAAAAGTAAAAAAGAAAAAGAATCTCTAGCCATTAAAAATAAAGGGAGAAATTTCATATAAATTAATTTCTACGGCCCCATGCAAACATGAATAGGTTGATACATCTCCAAGTTCACTATATGGCTATTTCCATGAGGCTGTAGTCATATGTGTATGTAACTTGGTGCCCAGCTTACTATTAAACCTAAGCAGCCTGTGACATAGTGGTTAAGGCATCTGGGTCCCACTGGCTGATTGCAGGGTTCAAGTCAAGGACCCAGCAGCATGAGAAACACACCAGGTGTGTGTGCATGTGTGCCCAAAATTCCAAAAGGAAGGAGAAATGGAGGAGAATGGATTATAGCATGACCATCCTTCTTTTGCCCTCTCTTTTTCTCTCCCTGTATCTCTCCACTGAGTGTACACACCCTCTGGCAAATTTAAAAAAAAAAAAAGACTAAGCACATTCCATGTTATTACACAGTCTGAGTGAACATCACTTCTAGTAGCTACACAATAACCCACATGATAGAAGTGCCAGGGAGACACTAGGAGGGGAGGCAGTGGAAGGAGAAGAAAACACAGAGACAACAAGGGGGAGACTGACATTTGGAGGCAGAGTATAAATAAATGAGAACAGCAAGAAGAAGGCTGAGAGAAGCCCATGAGATCTGGCCATGATCTGATTTGCAGGGTGTTTCAGGCAGGGTTTTTAGGAGGGCATCAGAATGCAGGGGAGAGCTGGGGGAGAAAGGCGTAAGCACCTGTGCACATTTCTAACCTAGACTCTTACGACAACCTCTTTCCCATCCTGTAGCCAGGTGACATGTACCAGGACACTCTGTTGCCTATGAGGGTGCACCCAGCACCCTCCACTGCCAGTTGCCACCTACAGGAAGTCCTCCCTGCCCCCTCCACCCCCGCCCTGTGACAATAAGCAGCCCTTCCCCATCCACACAGAGCTAGGACTCTATCTTAGGGCAGATGGCATATCTATCAGATTCAAGCCAGAGTCCCAGGGCCTAACTGATAACTGCACAAAATGAATTAATTACCCAATTAATTGATCAATTAATTAATTAGCATGGGCTACTTCACCCTTTCCTTCCGCTTCTTTTCTCCTCTGCAGCAGCACTTTTTTTAAGCTAGCCATTTATTTTTTTTATTTTAATTTACATTTAATCACACATATCTTTAGTGTACAGCATTGCTTTTTTTGAGCATGAATAACATGTATCAGTTTAGACAAAGACATTACTATATACATTATCATCAATAAAAGATACTCATTATTTTGACAATTAAATGTACTTCTTTTTTTTTCTTTCCCAGTTCCCATCCCTCCCTCCTTCCCTCTAGTACACACCCCCAAATTATCCCTATCTCTGTACCTACCATGCCCTGACTGCTACTGCACCTTCCAAACTTTCTGTTTCAGCCATGGAGCGCAGACATTCAGTGTATATTGACTGGGTCCTCTGCAGCACTTCCTAGTCATTGTGGTGCATAGGAATCACAGGGGACTATGTCAAAATTTAGATTCTCTTTCAGAGGGTTTGGGATATGGCCTTAGACTCTGCATTTCCAACAAGCTCTAAAGGAAAAGCTTTGCCTCTTTAAAGTCCAAGTTAGGAAATTCTGTTGTCTCCCAATCCAAGAATGTCACCATCTTCTACTCTAATAAATTCCTCATTCCTTCTTTTACTAAACACATTCCATTTTTTAAATAATCATGTACTATGTTCCAAGCCCTATGCATTGGATCAGAGATTCCATTATGACCCAAGGAGACATGATCTCTGCCCTCTTAGAACTGATGGTCTAGTGAGAGAGCTGGCATTACTCCAGCAACTGAGCAGTTGATCAATACTTGCAAACTGAGCTGTATTCCAGGAGGAAAGAAGCAAGCACAATGCCACGACGGTCAATTGGGATCAGGGGACCAAAAAGGAGTAACTTCTCTGAGAAAGTCTAAAGGATGAACACGTTAAAGAAGAAAGGGATGGGACCAGCAGATGGCAGAATGGTTATGTCACTGGACTGCCACGTAGTCGACCATGGTCTGAGTCCTGGACCCTGTGGCTTAAAACTAATGCTCTACGTGTGTTTGTGTGCACGCCCAAAACCATGAGAGGAGAATAGAGCAGAAGGGAATGCAGTTTGGCCATCCCCCAAGGAATGATTTCTTGCTTTCTGTCTCTCTATTGCTCTAGTGAGTGCACATACCCTCTAGCAAAAATCTCTCAAAAAAAGAAAAGAAAAGGATGAGAAAGAGGATAAGCAAAAGCAGTGTGATTGTGGGTAGCAAGAATACAGTCAATGTGACAAGGGTCTTTGCAATCCCTAGCAGCCCACAAGAATTCCTTGCCAAGCAATATAGAGGCAGGAAAATTAAGTCTTCCTCAAAAAGCTAGCACCTTTTTGTCCAAATATCTAGACATTCCTGGACTACAGAAAAAATCTTGAATCAGTAAGGTGGAAAATAGGGAGGGGCATGAAAGGACAAATCTACCATTTCCTAGTATAGGAGGAAATGAAGTATAGGCCAAAAGATTCAGGTTTTGATGTCAGATGGACTAAAGATTTCGAGTTACAATGGTCCCTCTGTTACTTACCGTTTGTCTGAGACAAGACATTTAAGCCTCTCTGAACTTAGTTTTCTCTCCTGTAAAATGGAATAGTAATACAGTACTCACCTTGCAATGTCGTGACTAGACGTTTTTGAGTTAATTTGTACAAAGAAGTTGTATTTGCACTCCTCCCTCTTAGTTGTTCCTCACACACCCTAAGTTCCTTTAGCAGAGGTAAGCTCTTGTTTTGGTGGCTCAGCACCTTTACTGATGGTGCTTCATCATTTAGGGGAGAGGCGGGGAGGAGGCAATAGCATGAAACCCCAATGTGTAGAAATAAGGTTACTTTCTAGAGGGAACCTGATTACTTACGGCACTTTCAACACCTAATGTGTGGGTGGTTTTGCCCTATAGCAACCAATTCTCCAACTCTCTGGACATCAGTGAGATGTCCTATAATTTAATTCAATTAAATTATTAAATAACCATATGAAGAGATATATAGGGTGAGATCTAGAAAGGTTCCCAAGTGCAGGAGCTTCTGTCTCCATGGAGTTGGGTACTCACTGACCCAGAAACTCTCCCAACCTACAGTTTAGGGATTCTTATGGATATTTGACTATTATTTCTTGGGCTTCTTTTCTGAATAATTGCAGGTGGGGCTGAAAGATGCAACTTTCTACTCATGGCTAGCCTTTCCAAGGACTTGCCCCTCTTCTGAGGCTATCCAGAAGCCCACTAAGAGTCATCGCAAAAGACTCTCTTATTACTTGGGAAATTACAATGTTTTCAGAAGTTAAGAAACACAAGCAGAGAACAAATGTGTATTTCTTCCTTTCTCTCTTTTTTCTTCCTTTCTTGCTTTGTTTCTTTCTTTCATTCTTTCTTTTTCTTTCTTCCTTTATTATTTTTTTTTAAGATTTTTGTCATAGGGCACACACACTCAATGGAGAAAGAGAGGGACAGTGAGAGGAAAAATGAGAAATCACCCCTTAAAAAGGATGATCATGCTGCCGTCCCTTCTCCTTTACTCTCCTCCTGGGATTTTGGGCATGCACGCACATGCGCTGGTCATGATTTTCAACCCATTGGGTCCAGAACATGAACCACAGTTGGCTACGTGAGCGTCCAGCACTTAAACCACCACACCACTTGTTGCTACCACAAATATGTATTTCTTATTGTGTCATACCTTCTCAGGAGAAAATGGTGAAAATTTATCTTTTAGACCTAGCATTGGCATGCTGGTCTTCAGGCCAAAATCCTTTTAACCAAGAAGTCAGTTACATCTATGAGAACTCCTTGGCCTTTTAGCAATGGACATGTTGAGACATTAGGCTTGATATTCATCAGTATTCTCCAAAACTAGAAAGGGTGACCTGGAAATTTGGAAAAATGGAGATCCTTGAGAAGAGTTTACAAAGAACATCTCATATTTTGAGTAAAGGGACTATAGAGCTGCTCCTAACCTTGGGCTTCATTTGCGTGTGAGGACTGAAATATCCCCAGGCCGTATCTGGAGGTCAATACCAGGCAGAGCTGAGGCCAAAGCCCAAGTGGAGAATGTGCTGGTTTCATGACTTTGGGCTGGTGATTTCTCCTAGTACAGCCTTTGTTTACTCATCTTTAAAATGGGCATCCCAGGATCCATCTCGATGTGCTGTGAAAAGGAGAGATTAAGTCAGTCAGTGGACATTAAACATCCCACAGGAGGTGTCGGCATTGCAGGGAAAGTGGGATTAAGAGAAATAGGACCACTGCCAGGTAAGGCAGAGTGACTCGTGGCCCCGCCACTAGGTGCTAGTGACACAAACACACCTTCGTACCTCTCTGATCCCCAGATGTGAAGAGAAGTGACAACATCTGCATGCTGGGCGTCTTATGGTTCTGTCCAAGACCGCCAAGTCAATAAAGCATTTTACAGTGTCTGACACAAAGTGGGCTTCAGTATGTGGTAAAATTACATTTTACAAATGATACCATTATCAATCAAAAAACAGGGACTGGGATAAGCATCAGTTAGAGTTTACCTGCTTGGTAAGAAGAGAAAAACAGCAGACTCAGGATTTAGACGTATTCGGCTGAATTTCAGAGTTGTTGTCCTTCTAACCACTGAAGCT